GTACATGGTGCCTACGTTCCTTTTACAAATATTGCTCCAATTAAAATCTGTATAATACACATATGACCAAGCACATGAGGACCATGTTAACATTAAACTAAAGTTCAGTAAAAATGCAGTCAGTTCATACACCTGTCAATAACACCTCTCTGATGTCAACCTGAATAGATTTGAAATATTATTCATACTTGTTATGCTCTTTAGCCACATACTAACAATGACATCAGAAATTTCAAATCACAATCTGCTTCTACAAGTTGTACTTAATATAAATACACACTATATAATTAGCATATACACATATGAGTATCAAATAGTTTATGTACTCATTAAAACAAAATCATCACTACTTAAAAAACAATAAATCTCAAATTGACTTTCTATTGGGCATAAAAACTCTTAGTCTGTGCTGGAAGCGCTCAAGTATGTTTTGACCAGATAAAACAGAATGAACAATTACAGTTTAATTGCAAAAAAGTGTGCATGCACATGTACATACACACACACACACACCATTATGATTGTGGCCCATTCAAAAGAATTTAAAATAGTGGACATCTATTAAAAAGTGAAGGATGTATGATTTCTAATCCAAAATACATATTTATTACAGATTAAAAACACAATCAGATACACTTAATGCCTATCCACTATTTTAAGATGGCCAATCCGTCTGTGCCCAGCAATGTCCAAACATAAGAACCCAGGATGGATGCATTTTGGTATGTTTGTATTTCTATTTGCATCACAATTTTTGTTACTTAAAACACCAATACTGTATATTAACTTCCTTTGCTTATAATTGGAAGGATGAGCTCATTGTTTTATATAGATGGTATCATTTCAACACTGGTGCCTGCATGAAAACAGTCCGTTTTTAATCTGCCCAGGCTAGAAGAAAGAGAGACCCCTCTCCATTACTGCCAAGTGGGATCCATTTTATATTTGTTTGTGTAACCCCCTTGGACTGAGAAGGGAACTTGTCAAAATGCATCTGTCCTGGGAAGTACAGGGGACCCTGTTGAGTACGCTCGGTGGGGAAGTGGTGGTGGCTGGTGCACCCGAGGGGCCCTGAGGAGAGTGGTCAGAGGGAGCTCTCGGTGAAGGGGGCAGAGTCTGGCAGGCTGAGACAGACTGTCCTGGTGAGAGCACGGGCTGATCAGGGCTGCGTGAGCTCTGGCTCCTGCTGCTGAAAGAGGCAGGTGTCCTGCTCCGAGCGCCAGCTGGCAAGAAAAGTGACACAAGTATGTTGGATCCATCCAGAGGCTCCAGAGAAGGTGGATTCAATCTGCTGCTCCCCAGTCTCCAATTACGCAGAGCATCAGTGACAATGAAGCTGGTTAACAGCTTATTTGCTACTAAGGTGTGATATAATGAATATCTCTATTTGGGTTTTTTAATATCTCTATTTTCACCATCATTATTCACCGAGGAAAATTTGATGCCAGGTATCCTACACTAGGCATCCTGGTTTCTTATGTACATGTAGTGAATGCAGAAGGGTTGTGCATTTGACATAGCATAGCTGTTCCATTTACACCACTTTAACTCTCCATAATTTCAGCCTCACAGGGGACTTTGGGATACAATATCACTTTCCTGGTTTGTGTCATGATACTCAGACATACAGAGCATCAACCTCATCATCAACACCAACAGGAATGAAGCTGAGAGACGAATAAAAATGTTTACATATTTAAGACTAGCTTTTTCCCCTTGAATGTTGAGGAAGCATATTCTTTTGAATCTTAAATCATATTTCAGTTGGTTTTAACATTTCACCATGTCCTGAGCCCTCCTAGCACAGTGAAGTTTATTAATATAGATATATTCTAATTTATTAGCAATAACATTGCTAGGATTTACTGCAAAGATGCAAAGTTATACCAGTAGGAAAGTAAAGTAAACCTACTGACCTCAGAGAAGTTACTCCTTATTTACAGTACATGGACCTCTACATTTCAAATATCTTAAAGTCCTGTTTTATGTGCCCAATAAAAAAGAAAACAATCAATATTATTAAGTATTGTGCCTGTGTGAACTGGGTATATGTTAAGATCAGGAAATCATGCAGGACACTCCCAGCGGAAACCAAGAAATACAGCAGCCTGAAGCAGAAGGAGCAAAGGCAGAAGAGTCCTCCTACCACAGTGAAAGCTTTCCATTAATACCCAATTCATGAAGGATGCCCTTTAGAGGCAAGAAAGATGCCCTTTAGAGGCAAGAAAGAAGTCTACAGGCCCATTTAGTCACTGGTCTCTGGATAAGACTGCCAATATAGAAATCAAACAGTGCAACCTCATCTGGTACTTTTTAAAAGCAAGATCCCAAATTGTTTAAAACATACTACAACTAAGACAAGTCAAGGAAAGCATCTACATGTATTGAAAACATCTAGTCCCGACTCACTGGAAATTGGACTATGGTCACAAGACCCATTTCACATATGGAGTTTAAATTAAAAAGATAACCACTGTGAATGGCTGTCGGACACTACAGACCTGGACTGGAGTAAACCTATACTGAGGCTGGAAAGAGCTATAACCAAAAAAAAAAAAAAAAAAAAAAAAAAAAAAAATAAGAATCCC